ATTAGTGTAGAGCCACCCGATGACGAGAAGCTATTGCAGAGGAATATATTTCTTTGCTCAAACTCTTTTTTGAACAAATTATACATCTGAAGTTAAGTCAATGATGACCAGATCTCATCACTGCAGATGCCGAATTAAATTCGATATTTCAAAATCGTTGATATGGCACAATTCAGTATTTTAGCCAATATCATTGGACAAAAAGATATAAATCTTCAAGCATACAGAATAAACTAATACATCGCAAGATAGTCAAGACCTCGTTATAGATAATCACCAATATCAAGGACCCTGTAAAACGTCTAATGATCTTAAATGTTGACAAACCAATATCATATATCTGTACTGAAAGAAAAACGAACGCAGTATTTCGAAACATTGAACTGGTTGACGCTAAATTTTGTAGGTAGATATCGTCATGATCACCATGTATCATTGTCCTGAATTCACTACTCACTAGCCCCTGAGTTCGTACTGAATGACAACAAAATGTCAATTAATTGACAACAATAGTGCCATCATCTTTAGAATAACCAATTACAGCAGCCGATATATACTATTACACATACAACTTTCAAAGCAGTCTGAAACATTCTCACATATATCAACAAACGTTACCACTTGATTCAGGATATAAATTTTCAGATTCTGTATATACTGGCGCATCTGAAATTTATTCTTGTAGATTGATTCATCTGTGATATCTTCTATTGAGTCTCTAGTAATCAGCGTGCTTAAGGTACATAAATTCTTGTCCACTGTTGTTGTCAGCTGTCTCGATTCTAAGGACCGACGATAACTTAAACAAGTTTTAAGTAGGAGAGGAAGTGCCAAGTCAGCTGGATGACTCCATTACAAAATCTTAACGACTGGTGTAGCTCATGATTTATTGAAGTCCATCTGAGAAATATTTTGCTATTCCATCACCATAATGTTCGTAATAAGGGGTGATTCAGATGAATTACCTTCTGGTAATGTCAAGGAGTTTTATCGATTCTCGAGTAAGAGAAGTACACTCTGCTAACACTAGCAAACTCAAAACGACAACACACTCAACTAATTCTAAATGCACAAAGGAGAAACATCCAGTAATTATAGATTCTGTGTACTTTTTGTAACGTGTTTCTTACCGTCTAACCTAATCTAAGTAAAAACTATCGTGAGTGTGTTCCATCTAACATAGTTTTCATTGAATCTCTGCAGAAATATATAGATGAATCAACTGAAAATGAATCGTTTTATAAGGACGTTAAACTGTAACATGCCACTTTTCAAAAAGACAATGAGGTGCTCAGTCGAAGAATCAGAGTGCCAGATGAACTGAAAATTGCTTCTTGAACTATTGTCATTATTTCCATTGAATAACGACGACACATGAGAAAATGATCACCGTCAATCACACAATGCGAATGTTAAGCGAGGACAGCTACAACTTACACAGTACTAGCTGGAGGATTCGAGGCTCGAAAAGACGACTGAATCCATATCACTCAACATTTATATTGTGAATGAATTCAAATATGGATAATCTTGTTCACAGGCGATCAGCGATGTACCTACGACCTCTGTCTCAGTCATAATGACTTACAATAACTTGAACAAATATTCGATAGGACAGCAAGTGTTGATTGACTACACTTCAGAATTCTACTGACTAACAGAACACATATTATAATGAAATCTATGTGCCTAACGTTTCATCATCCCGTTGTTGTAATGTTTGCAATAACCCCACCTAGTCTTCTAGTTCAAGAGACGGTTGCAAGCACAGGAGAGGAGGGAAGGTTGACCATGTGGCCGGTGATCCTACTCCCAAAGATCTATCCGATCCCCAACGAAGCTTCAAAGGACAGCCAAATATTAAAAGCAAATTTGAACTTGGCTGGAGTCAGAGAGATGGAATGCAACAGACTTGTAAAAGCCTTTGTGAAGCCAGTCAGGTGAAGTGTATTCCATTGAGAGCAGGAATAGTCGAAGGTGCATGAATGTCAAATATTGCTCGAAGCAGGGAAGGCTGCTCAAATCACTGAATGGATGAAAAGATCCGGTATATCATTCCTGTGACTTTGTGAGATCAGGAGGAATGAATTTGCACTCCACAGAATTGTTAACTGGAGGATGAGTGATCTACTCCACTTTCTTAGACAATAATCTCGAGCACGCTGGGAGAGTAGCTGTCACAATATCACCGACACGAACGAAAGCTCTTTTTCAGTGAGAACCAATCTCCCTCAGGATAATGACGAACAGATTGGTTTCCAAATGTTGGAAAGTTACAGTCATCCAGTGTTAGGCCCCTTCAAACAACACCGATGAAGAGAAGGAAGAATTCCACAGATAAATGTCAGCAGTAATGGATCAGATCCCAAATGGTGATTTAAAATCGTTATGGGTGATATGAATGCTGTACTGGGAGCAGTCAATATGGGAGCAGAACTCATCAGGGTCGAGAGCCTCTCAGCAAAGTGAATGAGAACGCACAATTCTTCAGAGACTTCTGAGACTTCAGTGACTCGGTGATTGGGGGTGGCGTGTTCAAGCACAGCGATAGACACAAGGCCATATGGATTTCATCTCATAGACACATCAATAATCAGATAGACTTCATCTCAATGCTGCTCAAGAAAGTAAAGACGATGAAGGGTCTTAGAAAAGAAACAACAGTTCCAAAACGCAATGTCAACTGAAGAACAGTCTCTACAGAAAAGAAAACCTCAGAATATTATTCCAGATAACCAGGTCTATATCCTTGAGGAGAACAAGTCGCTTGTAACCGACAACTAACAACACCACATCAAATGTTAGGGTTACTGTAAGGAGAGAAACCAACATGCATGAAGCCATTTGAAGATAGGGAGGAAATCCCGACCATCAAAGAGGTGAAACAAAAGAAGCATTGAAATGACCACTTCGAACAAATACTCACTCGACCATTGCTTGTAACTCGCCCAGAAATACTACCAGGGGACATTCTACAATAGAAGCAGAAGTCACCAGGCGTGGAAAACAGCAGGTAGATAGACGCTCTTCACAGAACCTCAGCAGAAGTTTCAAAAGTGAAGCAATGAAGTAGAAGTCGAGAAAAGTAGCGAAACCAGATAGGAGGCATCACGAAAGCGCTGAAAGTAGACACAGAGGGCTCAGCGGAAGTATTCACCCTACCACTATATGAGGAAAGAAGGGCATGAACTTGCGTCAATTCATGATCTCCTTTATCTCAAGCAAAAGATTTGACCGCAATTTTGTTGAACACAGTCTGGAGTTGTAGTCAGCTCTCAGTCCCAACATCCTCGATTTTGGAAGGGCCGTCCATAACACCAAGTGTGAGGAGAGTTACATTGAAAACAAATGAGCTCTCATCGGTTCTCGTTCGCAGGATTGATTAGGAGCACCGATCGTATGCCGTCTCCCATTTACGTATTAACTCGGAAATAATTGATTCCATGACCATTACATCAGTGTGTCAACTATTTTACACGAAGTAGATATAATGAAATTCCTTGAATCGAAGACAAGTTATGCTAATTCTCTACTCAACAACAACAACAACAGTATATTATCATTATTAATTATCATACTTTTCTTGCTTCCTAAGTGGAACACTGGTGCACACCAGTAAATCTCAGTCGCATTCGGTTATCTACGACCACTTTCAACTGACTCCATGACTGTCCACATAATTCCGCTTTCTCTTCACACGGTATAGTGCACGCCACCCACGGACGCCCAACTCGTCACTTCCCATTCGGGTTCCACTCAGGGTTCTGATTTGTAACGTCACTTGAATGTCTATTATTAGATTGTCTATAGGTTCGCTGTCTGCCACAGTTCCTTCTTGACCATCCTTTCCAATCGCTCAACTGATCTTCAGTGTTCGGCGTAGTCAGGTGTCGATGAAAATCTACAGCAGCCTGTTGGAAATGCTTTTGGAGACGTGCTAATCCTCTGAATCATAAAGAGGCACTGACTTGACATTAGTGTTAGGAATTAACACCTCGTTATTTCTCACGAAGTGCATAACGATCAATACCATGTGTGAATTTAAACTAGTTCCCGAAGAGTTAGAAGTCAATGATAAATATAAAGTGTCTGGAACTGGAGTTCAAAGAGCGTCTAAAATGTCAGACAAATTCCCCACTAGATTAATTTAAGGTCCACATTTTGTAAATCTTGTAAGGAAGCATGCCGAACGCTCTCAGATTGATCAGTCAGTAATTATTTTGCAAATAGATTGAAACAGAGTCTATGGAATCCCACTAGATTGAGTGTTTCAGATACACCTCTTGTGCATAGTATAGGAGAATTACTGCACTTCACACTTCAGAGGTTAAGTACCGACGATGAAATTCGTTTAAGAAAACGCACTTTTCGTGGAATTTGTCATTGATAAATAAACGTGGACGTTCACTGAGTAAATTCAGCTTTTGTTCTGTAAAATGTTGTTCCCTCTTTGCAAAAATGAATATAACAGAGGTTCCAGAGTTTGGCGTCATTATTGGTCTAAAGATGCATCGGTGATTCAATAGCAGAATGTTCTCCAGCCCCTTTAGGGCTTCTGATCCTATTCTTGGTGGATGGCCTATTAAGCCATGCCTACTCTGGAACTTCAGAATACAAGAAAGGAAGTGAGAAAATGTATCTAAACATGAAATCTACTGACTATTATAAACCACCAGTTCCTACTGCATCAATACCAATTACAAAACAAAACTAGTCTTGTCTCTTCTCCCTTAGAGCTCAACTACTTCGATGAATTCGTACATGAATACTTCATGAATATTTATAGTTGAAATTATCTCAGGAATTTCTTAGAATCACATTTCTACACGTTGCGTTGCCTTCGATGATGAACTTGATTTAGCGCCTAATATGTAACTGTGAAGTCTGCCACTCAGAATTCTCATTTAGTTTGATAATAACCACTTGTGAGATAGATAGACAGACAGACACCCAATCATATATTAGGCTTTTCGTAGATGCCTACAACTGTGGTCAGATGACAGCATTCTCAGTTTTACAGTTACTTTCGTAACACACTGTTGGTTTTGTAAGTGTTGAACTTGGTCACTGTGGTAGAATGTAAGTACATTATAGATAAGTTTATTTTATGTAACAAACAGTGATACAGTATAAATAACTGGATGATGTTTCAAGCACAATTTATTCCTCATAAACAGTCACATCAATGTATTCACATGGCTTGATTATTTGATTTATATATTCTTTCGCTTCCCCAATTTAATTTATTACAATTTTTTACATATATATCGGTTAAGCGTTGCATGATTTAGACTCCACCCTTTCGGTATTGATTTAATGAGCAGAGACTCAGTGATCAACCTCTCGCTCCATTTAACTAAATTACATTTCAAAACTTTCACTCAATGACAGTCTTCGATTCTTTTATTGATATTACTATGATTACAGCCTCAGGGTGTTCTCGGTCTTCACCTGATTGACTGGAGTAAGTAATTGACTCTCCACATAACAGTTTGGAGAGTTCACTTCCATTCCATTTCTTCGGACAGATTCCAAACACTTTTGTATCATGTGTTCTCATTTCTTCTGCAATCTAGGCAGTTCTTCTAGGCTCAAACATGGAGTGAATATTCCATTTCATTGCATCTACTACCATCGAAAGGAAAAATATCGGTTGATTATCTTCTTGGAGGTGTTCACCATCTGATCTCTTGAATTGAATAAGTTCATTTCTTCTCTGCCTTCAGTTTTCACCAGTGATCCTAGTGTATCCTACAGGGTGACGATTCTGGCTCTTTGCTAAACCATCACTGTTTGCTGAGTTTAGCATCTGATAGTAAGCTGGCTAGACGAAGTTATGTGTTAGTGCGAGTTTCACTGAATCACCTCCCACTTGGAGACTTATGCAAACGGTTATCATAAATATATATCAAAGGAAAGCTTACATAACAGTGGAAGTTGAAGTGTGAGTGTATCCACCATTTTCTCTTGATTTGAATAACGTATTACACTACTATTGCACTATAGTAGAACACACAGTAGAAGTAACTTCGTAATTAGTAGTCTTCTCAGAATTACCTGTAGAAAGGTTGACAGTTATCTATTTCTAGTCAGTTCTCACTGAGGAAAGACTGAAAGTTGTTCGAGTAACGCTACGTTTGCTGGATGGATCGAGTCAATTCTGTTTTCACATAATTGCTTGTTGTCTAACTCGAACATTATTCCAATTGTTTCAATGAACTGCTTCTCAGGAGTTGTTGATTCAATCGCATACTCATATTGTTTGTTGAATGAGACAGTTTTCCTTCGAATGACTTCATCTATTTACATGAAATATGTTGATCTTCTTCTAATGTACAAGTCATGCTGCATAAGTTGTAAGCAATCGACACAACAGAGACTACAAGAAACCATGTTATTATTCTTTCCAAATCTAGTCACCACTCAGCCATAGGAATAGAAGTTGTGATGACACCGATTTACTTCACTCATTTTATTTCCACTGTACATATTGAAATAAAAGTGACTACGTTGTGTCGTGGTTTTGAAAGTGTAGATTTATAATGACACTTCTCCTAATTTTGTAGCCTATCTGATCTGTATCCAATAGAGGTGAGTGCTGAATAATGGATCACTGTGGTATTTTGCTAGAATTACAAGTCGCCAGCTATTGCTACTATCAATCTTCGAAAAATGGTAGTCAATCTTTTTTATATAATAATACCAAAAATATTCAGTTTACTAATTATCCCCTAATGGATTCCAACACAACGACGCCATGTGCTACACCACAGATAGAGTAAGAAATGCATTACCATATCTACTTACTTCTCATATTTTCTTAGCATTCGACACTTCAAGATAACGGTGATCTGCTTGTAAGTCGTTTTCAACACTCATTTCATTGACACTACAATATGGTGTTATTTTCAATTTTCTGTCTTGATTCACCGGCCAACTTCGCGATAACTAGCACTGTATAATGTTATTCATGCTATTCATCAATGAAACGAAGTTTACGCTCTTCGAATACTTTACAAATGCACTATACCCTATTATTTTCTGAAAGACAACCAGGTGAGGCTGATCTAAGCTGTTGATGATCTGCTTTCTTCACCAAATATAATCTGACTAGTGCAGGTGTGAGGAACTGCCACACAATGCATTCACTGATTTCTTGTCCTGTCTCAGTTTTCTCGAGTTTTGTATATGGTGATCCATTGTTGTTGGTATCACAGTCTGAAGAGTTTCTATTTCCAACTAGAACCTGTGCACACTGAATGCATTCAGAATATTTATAACATACATTCACATTGTATATTCGTATAGTGGTCTGTCCAACTCTTATTCTAAGACAACTGATGTACCTACTTGTATTTCAGAATTTGTGGTGGTATTGTCTTCACTATTTTGACGTTGTTCAAAAACCTACAGTCCATGTTTGCAGTTAATTTTCTTCTAACGAATTTATCGGTAAGTGCATTTTAATCTCAGTAGTTTAAAAGTGTACATCGTATTTCATCTTTAATGAAGTATACTGGTGTCTTTCGACAATTGCTGTGAGACATAGCTGACTATTGAGGAATACACAGTATCGAGGAGACTTAAGCTCCTTATGGAAGTTACGCTTCCTGTCCAACGTCAGGGAGGATATTAATGGGAATATTTTATTTCAAGCAATACATTGTACCACACGGTTTTAACAGGAGAACACTCGAATTATGTAGCCTGTTTTGTGACCTATTTTGTCAACTATGCACCCACTGAGAACAATTCCCTTATCAGTTACCAGAAAGTCATCAATGGTTTGATTGGGAAATTGATATCCAAGTGACGCAATGTATCCTGGAATGATTTCAATCCGTAACTGTTGTAAAACTTGAGAAAGTATACATCGCCCTATTTCCTACATTGGATTAGTCGGAATATTTTCGTCAAACACGTAGGCTGAAATCTCCATGAAGTCACTGAAGGAGAGCAAACATTGACGAGACGTTTATGTTATGCGTTTAAGCATTTCATCGCACCTCAGTCGAAACACAATTAAATCTGGACAAATAAACTGGTTTCTAACCCACTCTGAATCCGTGCACACAAAACAGTCCTAAGAGAAGGTGAACTTGACCTGAACTGGATGGAGATAACACTAATTCATTCGACAACGACTGAAGTGTGTGAAAGAATACGAGCTCCGGCAAGGTTCGAGATGTGTGGCGTTGATGTGTTCCGACAAGCGTCAAGACTAGTTGCATGTCTTCCTGCCAATTGACACCAGTCTAAATTATTTGCATTACTTATTATTCACTCAGTGATTATGTGATGTATTAGAATAAGCCAGACTGATACTGCATTGGTTCATGGTGCATTCCAGCGATGGTCGATTATGAAAAAAGTGTTACAGCCCTTAGGCATGAAGTAAAGTTATATTGGAGTTCAGAAAGGCTGCTTATGAATGCATACATAACGCGTCTTTTCTCACAACCAGTAAACATCCTTTGAATAACTTAATAAGAGTGACTCTTGAGGGGTAAGTTTACATAGGCTCTTCATAAGCTGCATATAACCTTAATAATGAACTGTGTGAGCAATACACGTGAAATGATTTAAACTCACTGTAACCGAATAGCAAGTTGATTTTATAAGTGTATGATAACACGCCGAAGATGTGGACTAGGCACGAATTACCCGAGAAGTTAGCATAACAAGTATAACCAATTATCAAATTATATCATGGGAGTGACGTACATTTTCTATAATTGAAGCTGAGAGACAGTGTTCAACAAGGTCGTATTAAGTTAGTAATGGTTGCGTTCTGCACACAAAATTCAGGTTTCACTCGTCAGGTCATCAGGCCGTCCCAAATCCAACAATTTGAAGTAGTCGTTCTGTGCCGATCACCACCATAAGAGATTCCAATATGTTGATCTGGTGTCTCATATCATCCAGACGCCATGCTATGATGTTGTTGAATAATGCTAAGCCCCGAAGACGCAGACGTAATATGATGTATTACTTATCACCGAACAGAGACGACCGTTGCTAATTTCACTACGCATTCACGAGTATTGATGAATGTGATCCACATGAAATCACTTTTATTCCAGCATCTGTCTTGAACGTCTCATCCCATATTAGAAAACAACACGCATCGAAGTATCGTCGTATAAATCTCACCGTTCAATTTAATATTTTGAGTAATGCCACCACAAACACATAAATATTATTGATAATCATGTGGAATGTCGTAATATGTTTTATTTTATTCTCCAACCTAGATCATCTTAATTTCTGTGGGTGCAGCATACTTTTTTCAGTGTGGTGAAATGAAATATCTGTTAATTTCTGTCAGCTCGGCAGTTCTCATTACAATAATAATCGTTATGATAGGTATGAATTTAAGACAGTTGAAAAGAGAGGGATGTTTTTTGCTCATCTCAATATCTATCATGCTCGTCGTTTGGGGGATCATAGTTTTTTACATTGGATTAGCCAAGGTGAGCGATTCTGTTTCCTAAATAACTTTATGATGCATTCATCATCACTAAAAACAATTATTTCAACAGTAGTCAGAGAGCTCTTGACTCCTAGTGATCACATGCAAACATAATGTGATGTATAAATTCAGTGACTAGGAGATTTTGCATTAATTATGTTCAGATAAAGGCTCTTTAGGAGAAAAAGTAGTGCTCGATTACGATGAGTAGAATCATCAAGAGTTTATTGTAAAACATGTGTTAATTTTAGAGCCGTAGAACGTCCACTTTAAAAATACGTTACACAGTAATTCAGATATTTTAACTACGGTTCAACTGAATCTATTAAAAATGACATTGAAACTCTCATATGTATCTAACCAACGTTATTAGTTTGTGGCGCGTTGCCAACAAGCCTGTTTTCCTTGTTCCAGTGAAATAGAAATGTTAAAATGCCTCAGTCGTACAGTGATCTGAAGAAATAAGAAGAAATTAGTACAGCGAAGAGTCTCTTTTCGGCGAATTCATTCACTTAGCTGTACAGTCGCAAATATATACAATTAATTTTGTGTGTGTGTGTGTACATTAGGTTTGTCAAAATCAAAATCAAATTAACAGTTAGTGTGGGTTGTTGATTACATCATCAAAATAATAAAGAAATTAAAGTGTGTGATTATTAATCAAAGTTGTAACTAAGTGGGGTGAAGATTGGTGAGATGTGAGTAGGGTTACGTAATATAGACATGTTTAGAAAGATTAGATGTTAGTGAAGGAGTATGGAGACAATTATGAAAATAAACTAGATAATAGGTGAAAAGATTGAGTGGGTTATTTACTAGAAATTATTATACGAAAATTGCAAAAAAAATTGATAACAAAATGTTGATGACAGATAAACTTGAAATTAAACCCATGGTAGTAGGAGGGGATGGAGAAGTTTCTTCTGTGTGCATAAATCAGGCTTTTCTATCCAAATCGCTAAAGCTTCGGCAATACAAAGTATACGGAAGCTTGTCGATTTTGGAAGGCCTCTTTTGACTTTATAGATGACTTTGAACGACTTCTCCTCGCAAATCGAATGACCAGTGTTGAGTATATGCTCAATAATGGCGCTCCTTATTGCTCTGTTGTTACCTTTCCGTAGCCAGGCGGGATAGTGTTCTTGAACTCTTTTAGATAAAACTCGCATCGAACGACCTATATACCTCGCTCCGCAAGAGCAGGTGAATTGGTAGATACACATGGAAGTGGTCAAATGCGATAGTTTATCTTTAGTGTAGTTCAAGAACAATGGTCTGGAGGAAAATGTCAGTCGTAGTGTGGCAGCGAAGATTGTCCTTCTGAGAGCAGTAGATATCCTCTTCTTCAAGGAGTCAGCCAGAAGGTCACCTTTGAAGGGTACATTCATGTAGGCCATCTTCTTCTGCACTGTAATGGGTTGTTCTTTGTAAGTCTTAGGCTTAACATGCTTGTCTATAAAATGGGGTGGGTAGCCATTCTCGAGCAGTGTCTTCCTTAAGAGGGCGATCTATTCCTCTATTGATTCAGGACTACAGATTTTTCGGATTCTAGTCGCCAGAGATATTATCAAGTTTCGCTTGCGACTAATTGGTACTTAACTGTAGAAGTTTGTCAACTGACCGTTCCATGTAGGTTTTCTGTGTACTGATCTGTTCAAGGTACCATCGGTCTTCTTACTTAAACGAACGTCCGGAAAGGAGATTGTCTCTTTGGTTTCTACTTCGATCGTAAATTTGATGGCAGGGTGGCAACTATTGAAAACTTGAAGAAGATCTGAAGAAAGTTAAGGGTTTTATTGTTTTACGACTGCGGTCATTCCACAACTCTCAGTTTCATCTATGAACAGAGGAATATCACTTCATTTATTTAAGTTTATTTGGTTTCCTTCTGATTGAGCTGATGCTGAGCTAAAATCGTCGGTCTGTGTTAACGTATTGGCTTCCACATTGGGCTCCACAAAGATGTCTGGCAATTTGCGTGGTGAAACTTGATCGATGGTTCCTAGCACTGGAATCCATAATGTGCATTTCATTCTACTTGAGGTGCAGCACCTGAATGCACGTCATTCCCAGTGGATGATAGAGTGACTATTCGAACGTGAACTCAGAACTTGAACACCATCACTCACCGAAGATGCAGATACACCCAAATTAAGGAGAAACCCGAGTTATGGATTCTGCTGTTGGACACTATCAATCAATGTAATTTGCTTTCTGTAGTGGAGTTGAACTGAGTTAAGCAGACATATTTATGGACAGTTGGGAAAATATGGCCCTTAATACGTTCAACCCTACTCCAAAAATATGGTGGAGATATGTGGATGACACTTTCACAGTGTTAAAAACAGAACATATCTCTAGAATCTGTACACATACAAACTCACTAGTAGAAGGAATAAAATTCACATTTGAATCAGAAAATGAACAAGGAGAATTAACTATGTTAGATTGTAAAATAAAACGAATAGAAGAAGGCAAACTACACACTAGTGTTTATAGAAAACCAACGCATTCTAACAGATATTTAGACTTTAATTCATCTCGTCCTTTAACTGTTAAGGCAGGCTTAGTTAAGTGTTTAACAAACCGAGCAGTAGCTCTAAGTAGCAGAAGAAAAGAACTAAATGATGAAATGAAACAGATAGAAGAGGCGTTGGTGATAAATAACTATCCCATAAAATTCATTACGAGGATCGAAAAAAGCCAAAAGCCAAATAAAAATAATTGTGAAACTAGTAATAATAACATAAATAAGAGAGAATATAAGTCACCTACAGTTATACCATATAAAGAGGGGACATCTGAGACCCTACGTAGGATTCTAAATAAAGCAGGAATTAGGGTGGCATTTAAACCTACAAACTCACTCAGGGACAAGCTCTGTAGATTAAAGGACCCAGTTGGCCCAATTAGACAAAATAATATAATTTACAAAATACCCTGTAATGACTGTGAGGTCAACTGTATAGGTCAAACTAGTAGATCGTGGGTAGTCAGATTGTCAGAGCATAAGAATTCCGCTAAGGTAAGAATGGTTTACCCAGAGAAGATAAGTAATTTAGAGAAAAGCTCAGCAATTGCAATGCATGCATTAACACACAACCACACAATAGGGTGGGAGAGGATGAAAATTCCAAGAAGTTATCTAGGTAGGTGGAGACAGAGGTTGATTACTGGATCCTTGTTCATCGAATCTACACCCAACACATGCAATAGGAATGATTCATCACTCATACCTGAAATATGGAAAATATTACTACCAATGAAATCAAGTGGAAAACAACGGAACTATATAAATGAAATTAGGAAGTCGTGTGATTACCTTGATATGATTATGAGCAATAAATTGTGCTCGAAACGTCATCAGTAAACATTATTGTATAACACTGTGAGGCTTTATCAAAACAAAATTTATCCATAATGAGTTAAGCAGCCTTGTTTACTTCGTCCGAGCTATTTAAACCTTTTACGAATTGTTCAATTCACTATCTCAAGTAATATTTATCCACTGTCGTCCACTGTGTTCCAAACTAGAAAATATTCATGGCGTGTAGGACCTGTTCGAGAGACTTCAGCCTCTTGAATATTCTTCATGATGAGATATATTATCAACATTGGTGTGATTATGAGGTCAATTCACTGCTTGTCAGTCATCTGTCAAACTTCAAGTTTTACTATTACACTTAGTGAGTAAGAAAAAGAAAGTTTCGGTGGTGCCTTGTTACACTCATGAGTAGTCCAATTCCAGAAACTAATGAAAAAAAAAGATCAAACCAAGTTGTCATAGCCACAGTTGTTTATATCAGTCAATGAATAAGAGGAGATGAGCAAGAGCGTTAAAATAACGTAATGCAATAAATAAATTAAAGCATGATTGTAATCAGGAAGCAAACATAAACGAATGAAAATGTGATATTACGCAAGAGAGGGATTGAAAGATCTAGGAAGAAACAAAGACCAATGTCGTTATCATGATGGCAAAAGTGGTTGAATAGGTTTCTTCAGTTTACAGAGATCCGGTTTTTCTGCCTGGATGATTGGAAATTCAGTAATGCAGGAGGAAACGAAAGCGTATTTCCATTTAGTAGGTTGTTCTTCACTTTGTACATTACTTTGAATTGAGAGTTTGCTGAGATAGAATGACCAGTGTCAGCAAGATATCGATAATCGGACTGTTTATAGCGCAACTTCTAACTTCCCACAACTATGGGCGACAAGGATCTTAGACTCTTTAAGACAGGATACTTCTGTGTGTATATATCATTTCCCCTGTTCCCGTAGGGTTAGAAACACACATATATACATTGATATATAACCTGTTGAAGTATAGATTACTTTGCTTATTTCATTTGGTTTTATTGAAATTTAGAACTCTATTCTCTTTATGGAATTCGCTACAAGTGCCTGTTGGACGTGTGCTGCAGCAATCGTAAGTTTTACGCAGACGTTTAGTGAAGAATAAATCTTGTGAACATGAAAAATCAAATTTTCGGTGTTAATTAGGAAAATATGAATGCATTCACTAATTCCAAGCGATTGTCTGATGACCTACAGAACAAACCATTCAACAACTGTTCACTGCAGATTTCCATATGGATTAAAGACCACACTGAAATTGTGAAGTTGTGTGGAAGATGTATAGCTGAAGTCGATATTTTCGGCGTTGTCGTGTTCTCTGAACTGGACAGTTTATGTGCGAAGCATTCATTATTCTTCTGAACAAAATTGCAGTTATTGCAGATGACGTTGTCCAGAAGGAAAACTTCTTTGCATAATCACTCTAGCTCACAGAACACAACAACTCCAAAATACTCTGAAATTTGTCAAAATTCCTACAAGCCATAAAAGTAATTGCCTAAAACGCACTTAAACTTGTGTTTATATTTGTAATAAATGTGCATATTCGATGTTAATTTCTAATGGTAGATGTGTTCGGTTTTAGGTTCATACAGATCTATGTTAACTCAAACATTTGAATCTCAATGAGATTGCCTCTGGTGCTGATTTATTTGACAATACGCTAATCACAACACCCTGGGTCAATTGTATAGCGTATTGAGTAATGCACATATTAGTGAGAGCAGATTAGATTTCAGAATGTGATACTTCGATACGCTGAGGCATGTGTAAAAATATGTGAAAAATACAGTACTGCATTAATGCATAATGGATCAAATGATTTGATAAAACTCTATTCACTTAACACGTTCTGACCCGAAGACCCATCCTACATCCAAGAATCTCCATGCAGTATGAAGAATCTAAGTATTTCCAAGCTATCTATAAGCGAAGAGTTTGAAGTGACCACATACATAGGGTCTCTGCTAGACAGCTCCATATCTAACCCAATAAAGGGAGAGGTTGAAAAGACAAATCTATCAACAGTCTACTAAGAATCGTATTCTATAACTTAATTGCAATACAATATTAGATCAAACTTTAAGTGATGAAGCTGACATGATTATTGCGAGTTCGAACAATGCCTTGCAGTGAGACATTCAAAATCCATCACATGTGTGAATGGTTCCGGTTGTCAGCCGTCAAGGTTGAGCGGATCACACTGTGAAGCATTGCAGATTACGATTCCTATGACAATATTCCTTTCATTATCCCGCTATATTTTGCCACTTGCCATTACTGATGTAACACATAATAATTATTATCAATTGTCTGGTTTTCAGGAATATGACTGATTTTATGTTGAATTTCGTCACTAACCCACATCAATATGAGAACAGTTGGGAACCATGGAATACTAGACAGCCGTCTTATCCCAATCTGTAGCTCTTCAACAGTGTAAACACAATGCACAACCAGAGATCAAACTCAGAATTTCCAGATTAACAGGCGAACCTACCGCTCTCTCACACTAACTGAGACGGTGTCTACTCCCTCCTCAAATCTCTGTTTATTATTGCCCTTTCGAACCACTTACCTTTTGTCTCACTTTGTGTGCTACGTGGAATGCGGCAGCTCAAACTCCTGCATCCCTGTGGAAAGTTCTACGTTGAAACCAGTCAGTGGGTCAGTCGGTCAGGGGTCTATTGATACATAAAATGTTAACTTCAGGTGATTCGCGATATGTAGAGTCACCGTCAGTCACTGTCATGGGTGTGCATCTGTCTTCAAACCAAGCTTGGTGGAGCTCATTAGTCAAGAAACCTCATTGGAACTATAGGCACTTCATCTCTTAGTTGGCCAGTAATGCAAAATGGACGTGAACCTATCCAGTAATCTCTGCTTTTCACTGCTTCTCGAAATGATGTCGGTTAGTGATGAAATTCAACTTGAGAACAAATAATTATCTCTCACTAATACAATACAATCTGTTTTGAATTACAGTTAGAATTTGTTACTGCGTGTGAAATTAAACGCTGCAGAGACGGTGATTCATCTTTATTTACCTATGAACAAATAGCTTTCATTCTATGGGCAGATATTTTGGCAATATGCATATCAATAGGCATGTTGTTTTTGGATAAATTAGCACTGTGTGACTGAAACAACTGTATCATGTTCATTTGAATACTTCACCTTGAATTTCGTAATACACATGTACACACAGTATAATTCATTGTAAAACTGAAACGTATTTTTCATTGTCATTACCAGGTAATTAAACATTTCGAATACAGACTATTCAGTAATCAATATTCTTTCCAATTACATTCTCATTGGACTCTGCACTTACATATACATCAAGTACAATACAATGTAAAACAAAACAAACACTTGAAAAAGGTGTTTGTAATCAGAGACATGGCCAAAGTATAAATACTAAGAATGTATTGATTCTATCCAAGTACTTAACTTCTCCTTCACGAAATATTCCGTTGACAGAGGCAATAAGATTCCATTGAATACGTCTAAAGAAGAATATCTGAAGCATATGCTGAATTTTAGTTTTAAGGAGAACTACACAGACGGGTAGACGGAGTTGTAATGGTTCCTCTGTTGTGTGCAAATTCAGCAGACCTGTTGACAGCGAAGCTAGGAAATAATTCACTCCACAACTCAGTCAGAAAGTTTACAGTTTATATAAGGTGTATGAGTGATTCATTCAGCCGCTGTCATAAAGGAGATGAACAGTAGTGAGACTCACTAGATTCAACTGAATACATTTAGCTATGCAGTTAACACGTGGGCGGGAAAGTGCGTGTATGTGAAGGATGTTCTTGTTTTAGCATGTATATATAGATCAATAAGTAGGTATTCTTGTGAAAGAGGGAGTATGTGGATTGAGAGGTAAATGCACAAATTAGCCTTGTTTCCTTGGAATACGAGTGATATTTGACAAAATCTCTGAACCACAGAATAATTCATAATGTTGGAGAAGTGATGACCTCACAAAACACTTTACTTGAAAACAGTTATCCAGAGGAGTTCATTAGAAGACATACCATGAAAACCAGAAAAGCAACATTTTTCGATTGCTGATAGTAAAAGCCGATGTACACTTGTACGCGATTAGAAAGCGATGTGCTGAATGAGATTTTCATGCAAAAGCTACGCAGATCTGGCCAGAGAGCTTGTGACATAAGAATATTACGAATTATGTTTCCCACACTTCCGATAGTGACACAGAGCGCAGAGAATGAGTTACTCAATATTTTCACTTCTTAGTTTGACTACCTCTGTGAGAATAGTTACTTTAGTGGTTTCCGCAGGAATTCAGCAGTCTCGACTGAAGAACACCTTCCAGTGTAGTTAAACACAGGTGTTTCAAAGACTGTAGATGGCTACTTACTGGGCCCACTGGCCCACACGATGAATTACAGGCACCAGTCAGTCATCTTCACTTATTTATCATTTGCCCACGATGTTTTCAGAAGAGTCTAGAATTCTAGTTCTGCAAACACTAGAAGTGATATAATATTCTCAAGTTTTGAAAAGGCTTCGCATATTTCAAGTGATTCTAGTTAGTATATTGAGTGAAGTTATCAGGTTACACCTATCAAACGTGCTGTTATTAAGTAAAACTATCAGTGGTATGATAGACAGATGGTTCATTCTGAAGACAGGGAAGTAATGTTCAACAACAAACATGGCCAGTGTGCAATTAACTAAGCAGAAGGAAGAATAAAACTGAACGTAAATCCAGTGCAGTGGCATAGTAATCTAGGTTGAGATAACCAATTACACTGAAATATAATAACAAACTCACTATATCCCATTATCTTCCTGCTTGAAAAATACTGAGGTTCGCCAACATTCTTTGGAGTATATCTATCAGTTACGATATTCTCGCAAAATATTCCGTTTTCATTCACTGAAATTCCTCTCATCTCCAGTGACAACCAACAACTGAGATATTACAAATGCTCCATCAATATTGAGTCAACAATTTTTATAATCGTATGCATTACTTCGTAACCTCCCTTCACCATTTGAAGGAGAGTGACCTTAAAAGACTGGATTGACGATTCTTTGAATTCAGCTAACTAGTGATTCACAGGTCATTGCATTCAACCTCAGTGTGTGAATGGCAATGTGTTCATCTCGGATCTCACAGGTTCTCGGTTCGATCTTCGGTGGGGTCATAGATGAAAGCAGAAAGCACCAGAATAGGATGACACAGCTGCTCAGTACCTGACAATCATCAATGGCTCACTAACTGAGAACACACAAATCAACAGAGAGACGTGTTTTCGTAAACTCACTTCATACCTGTACACTTATATGGGGGTATATATACAGTGCTAGTCGATAGCAGAGGTCAGACGTTATCGTCCGTTAATGAGAAGAATAAATCAAAGTGGATTGCCAAAGCTTTGGCTGCATGACGAAAGTGTAGACGAAATATTTTGGAACGGCTTGGTCGTAATTTATGTCTGACTCCGAAAGAAGTCTTTGCTGGTGATGCATGACGAGAGGTGATAGTGTACTCCAGAATTGAGCTATTGACTGTCTTTCGTTCCCCTTTTGACAACCACGCTGGCAATTGTTCGTGGGTGCGTACAGACAATGTCCTACTGCCGCGGCCTACATACTTGGCTCCAGAGGATCAAGTGAATGAGCAAATGCGCACTGAAATTTACAACAGTCGGATCTTACCTTGGGTGTCCAGATGAACAAGAACATGTGTGGAGAAGGTACGCTATAGACAGCTAGTCGTTTCTTCGGCGCATCCAGGTTTTGCAATGAATCGATCTTTCTCTGTAGATGTTCATCGATGATGGAGGTTGGATATTCATTTCCACTACAGAGCTTCTGAAGGATTCCAATTACTCATTCAATGTATCTTCCCTGCAAATGTGGTGGATTCTCATGGCAAGAGAGTGAGGAAAGTGTGAAAGTTGGTCAGCTATCCATTCCACTTTGGCTTACAGTAGATTGATCTTTGTGGACTTGAATCAGATTGTCTTGTAAGCCTGACATCTCGGAAGGATAACTTGTCTATCGATTCGGCTGAAATTTTACATCCGACCAGTCGGTGATCGTTGTTAACGATTTTCAAAGTTTTGTTGAAATCCGTATTCTCATCGATGATGATAAATACATCATCCGTGTGCCTCTTGCAAACTTTGAGCTGTTTGTCTGCTGGTTGGAGGGTGTTGGACCGAGTGGGTGCCATAAAGCAGTCGGACAACAATGGGCCAAATGGTTCTCTAACCAATGTCGATTCACGAATGAATCGAAATTCCACCAACAAAATCTCTACGAAGCAACACTTAGAAATCCATAAGTATTCGTCTCACTATTAATACGATGATTGGGATGTCACTGAGAAATTCAAATTTGAAGGAGGTGTTTATCTATTTCTTCTTAGTTTTCACTGATTTTATAACCAGTTTCCATGAGTGGTGAAATTATGCCTGAAGTTGTTCAAATCCCCGCAAACGCAATGACTCAATTTCACAGAAATTAGTTCCCTTATCCTAACAGTAAAATAAAATGAGATTGCATTGACGGGTGTGTATCGGTGGGCTAGTGATAGAGTGCGTGCCATCCACACGAGAGGTGTAGGTTCGAACACACATACACATCGACACACTCTTAAACCTCTTCCAGTCGGTAGAAAGTTCAGAAGAGAGAGAAGGCTGAGAGTAATGATACCAAATGCAAGCCGTAGGAACAACACTGTCACCATTGAAACTTCAAAGGCGTATAGCAACACGTTCCATTTAGAACGCATTGAACATGTAGAAATAGTAGATGAGAAAGTTGATGTGAATTTGAGGGAAGACAACTTGTTTCAGATGTACTCACTGAGAAGTGATCAAGCTGGGAGCGCATTCCACGCATATTTCATCTGTCGAATGTCCTGAAATCTCCAAAACTCACTGGTTTTGTATGCCACGTGTCATATGCTACGGAAATGATTGAATGTGGTTTGTTGATTCCCGTGTGACTGTTACAGAAGTCCAGCGCTACCAGTTCATAAAATAGTATCCTTTGAAGGCAGAATTTCATTTCAAACGAATTATCGAACCCACTGAAAATGAACTCAAACATCAACAGATTTCTTCTAGATCGTTACTTCCTTTAAGAACTCCTGCTCATATTGCTACTTACGACGTCAATTCCTTCGAGAGTTCCAACGCATAGCTTTGTAATATAATTTATGCTGGTGATCAATTCAAAACAAACAGTGAAGTAAGTAAATAACCTGTTTCCAAAATGAAGCTTACTCATTTTAATCTTCAGACTCCGCCATCAATGTACATGAATGTTATGCGCTATCACTATCAGATTTAGTATATTCAACGCTTTCAATGAAATATTCTGAGGAGGTTTTAAGTGTCGGGTGTAATACTGAAAGTTGAGGCAATTTGAAGACTACTTATTTTCTCCAAACAATAATATTTATTCACGACTTGTTTCCCTCTAATCCATGTAGGTGTGTTGCATCAGATCAAGATAGCATTTGGTAGTGGGGGTGTTTATTGTCAACTTGATATGCAAACGTGGTGAAATGTTTATAAATCATGTAAAAATTACCATTCACACATGTTCTCCTTATCGTGCTTCCTTTGTCCTCCTTTCATGTTTTCCTTCTGGTCTAACAAAGATCATTCACTCCCTCTCCTCACTATTTAATTCATCCCTCCGCTATTCAACATTCTTGCAGAAGACATCACACACAGTATACTACTTACGAAATCTTGTCAGTAGCACACACCACAATTTCTCGTCATTTCAATAAATTTACCACTCTGCCGTAATTCCAAATTAAAGTCTCAATTGATACTTCGGTTACTCATTAAAACATTCGAAATAAATTCATTCGATAGCAACCATTGTACTAAACACAGACGATTTCAAAGTTCACATTAGTTGAAAATCTCCAATACAGTATATGAAACATTGATGTTTTTTTGCGAAGAAAAACTGAAAACAGTAATCAGTAGACTTTGAATTACCTGCGACAGAGTGTCATATATTCTAAGATTTATTGAGACATTTGTCTCAAATAGAATGCGTCAATATCAATATGATACGAAATATTTAGCAAGAAAATCATGTAGTGTTAACTGACCTTCAAAAAGCTGCTAAACATTTACACACCGAGAGTACATTCCACTCAGATTCAGATGACGATATAACTGGAGCACTTCGAACAGCTCTCTTTAAGCAGAAGTCGACAAATACAGTGCTAGGAGCATATACAACGATCTTTCTGGACCTGATTTCGGTGTTCCCGGAGGAATTCAGTGTGGTCCCACTTCGTTCCCAGATGGCTTACAGGCAATTTCCAGAATTCAAGACTTCTGATTTCGCCGAAATATTCGCAATACATCTTGCAATATCAATACTGACTGAAGTTTCTATGCAGGAAGTGAATACCTTGCGTTGACACATGCTGGAAATTCTGTATTCTGTATAAATGCATTATTCAAGACAAAGCTAACATTGTTATTAGTTATGATTGCTTTATTTGACAAAATGTTTACATTGTTTAACTTTAAATTTGACTTCTGGACTGATTGTAGGCATTTAATTCAACACATTACTCATATTTCAGATGAAATTGATTTGTGCAGTTTTTTCAATATTTAACCATAAAGATTATTTGCCATTCCTAAAATTTAGGCAGTGATCAGTCAGTCAGAGAATTTGAATATTTTGAAAAATTGTACATAAATTAAGACACGATGACTAGTTACTTTGGAGTAATAATAATAATAATTTGCTTTATTCCATAACAGTACATGTGATATAGAATGAAATTCTCAGCATTTTTACTACAGTACTGCATCCAGTTAGTACGTTGCTTACCCTGCTGACAACCTTTAACATCCTGCGCAATATGTTATAGCCTTTTTTCTTCAGTAGCCCGGAAAAAACCACATGAATGTATCCATCGCAGTTCTACAGATGACTAGCGACTGCTCAATAGCAACATCTCAGACCGCAGAACTGTATGATGCAGGTTCTCAGTCCACAAACAGATAAGGTCTCTGAGAAGTGTCAGTAAATACAAACGTATTATTATTATTATTGTTCCCTTGGGTTCCTAGTGGAACATAGGGCTTCAACTGCACGTCTCCACTTGCTTCTGTCTTCTGCTGTACTTTTCACTTGCGTCCATGTTATTCCATACTGTTTCATCTCCTCCTCACACGATCTCCTCCATGTCACCCTTGGACGTCCCACTCGCCGCTTCCCTTTCGGGTTCCACTCGAGGGCCTGACGCGCGATGTCACCCAGTGGCCTCCTCAGCGAGTGTCCAATCCATCTTCACTTCCTCCTGCATATTTGTTGGGCGATTGGTTCCTGTTTCGTTTGTTCCCATAGCTTCTTGTTTGTGATTCTTTCCGGCCATCTAATCTTCAGTATGGAGCGAAGACATTTGTTGATAAAGTTCTGCAACCTGTTGAAAATATTCTTGGTGACCCGCCAAGTTTCTGATCCGTAAAGCAAAATTGACTTGACGTTTGTATTGAAAATCCGAATTTTGTTGTTGATGGTGAGTGACGAAGATTTCCAGATTGGTTTCAGTTTGATGAATGTGTTTCTCGCCTTCCCGATTCTCGATTTGACATCCTCGTCCGTTCCTCCTGTGGTTGAGACAATGCTCCCTAGATAAGTGAAAGAAGTAACCTCTTTCAAATCCCTCCCGTTGATGGTGATTGACACTGGATGTTGCTGCTGTTGTTGGTTGGTTGGTTATTTTCATAACCTCCGTCTTGTCTATGTTCACCTGGAGTCCTGTCTTCACTTTCTGCTTCTTCGACCAGTTTTTCGGTTTTCGCTTGTTAGTCTTCGATTTTGTGTGACATCAAACATAAATCATCCACGCGCAAAATCCAGGTCTTCTAGGTTCTTCACGTCGGTCCAGGATATCCCTGTCTTCTCGTTTCCCACTGTCTGACGCATAATCCAGTCCACCACAATTAGGAATATCATTGGTGATAATAAGCACCCTTGTCTGACTCCTGTGTTTACTCCAAACGCTTCGCTGAGTTTTCCGTTGTGGATCACTTGGCATGTGCAGTTGTCGTACAGTTGTTGAATAAGGTTGATGAATGTTTGGGGTACGCCGTAGTACTCGAGTAGTTTCCAAATTACTTCGCGGTCAACGCTGTCGAAGGCCTTCTCAAAGTCTATGAAGTTGAGGTAGAGGTTTGATTTCCATTCCATGCTTTGTTCGATGATGATGGGGCGTAGAGTAACAATTTGGTCAGAACATGATTTGCCTTTCCTGAACCCAGCTTGTTCTGGTCGGAGTTCTGTATCCAGTGCGTCCTTTATTCTCTCCAGGATGATGCGACTCAGAATTTTACTTGGCGTTGACAGGAGGATGATTCCTCGCCAGTTCTTGCAGAGTCCTAGGTCGCCCTTCTTTGGTAGTTTCACGAGGTAACCTTTCCTCCAGTCAGTAGGCACCTTACCCTCTTTCCAGATCTTTTGCAGTAATGGAGTCAGCATATTTGCCGTCGTTTCTGGGTCCGCTTTCAGTGCTTCCGGGGGTATTCCATCTGGTCCAGCTGCTTTTCTAGCTTTCAGAAGCTTTATTGCATTCAAGACTTCAGCCTTCACTTGAGGATTGGTGTCAACTTGCAGTTGTGTACGTGCTGTTGTTGGTATTACTGGACGGGTTGTAGGTGGTGGTCGATTCAAGAGTCCTTTGAAGTGATCCACCCATTGTTTAATCTATCTTTCTTCTTTGGTAATTGGGTTCCCTTGGCTGTCTTTTATAGGTTTCACTTGTGTTGATCTCTTCCCGGATAGAGACTTGGTTATCTGATATAGTGTCCTCAGGTCCCTTTTGCCTGCTGCCTTCTCAGCTTCAGTAGTCAGGTTGTCGTAGAATTGTCTTTTGTCCTTCCTGGCACTCTTCTTCACTTCTTTGTCCAGTGCTGTGTAAGTTGAGTTCAGCGTCTCTTTCTCTCGTCCGTCTTTGCATTGAATCATTTTTTCTTTCACCTTTCTCCTCTCCTCTATTAGTTTCCAAGTGTCTGTTGAGAGCCATTCCTTGTCTTGTTTCTTCCTTCTTCCTAAAACCGTTGAGCACGTTTCGTTGAAAATTACCTTCAGAGAGTTCCAATGGTCTTCCACGGATGATTCCTCAGTGGTGCCACGTAGTGTTTCCTGCCTTGCTCTGACAGTTGCAATGAAAGTGTCCTTTGTGGTTGTGTCCTTCAGTTTTTGAGTGCTGAACTTGCATTGTGGCCTATCCCCAGGTATCCTCGAGGCTTTCAGCTTCATCTTGAAAGTCCCTTGTACTAGATAGTGGTTTGAACCCACATCTGCTCCTCTCCTCGATCTTGTGTCCAGTAGGCTCCGTCTCCACTTCCTTGAGATTGAAATGAAGTCTATCTGGTTTTTGGTGTGTCCATTTGGTGAAATCCATGTTGCCTTGTGTATATCCCTGTGTTTGAACACACTGCCGCCAATCACCAAATCATTGAAGGCGCAGAAGTCTGAGAAGAGTTCGCCATTTTCGTTCATTTCACCGAGGGCCTCACGACCCATGGTGAGTTCTCTTCCTCTGTTGTCTCCTCCCAGTTTCGCATTCATGTCGCCCATCAGGATTTTGATATCGCTCTTTGGGATGTTGTCCATTACTGTTTGTAGTTGACTGTAGAAATCCTCCTTCTTCTCATGTTCTGAGGCGTTGGTAGGCGCGTAGCACTGAATGATTGTAACCTTTTTTCCTTTTGAGTTGAACCTGGCTGTCATTATCCTGGTGGAGATTGGTTCCCACTGCATGAGAGCTTTAGCCGCTGTTGGTGACATCATGATGGCTACTCCCTCGGTGTGCTCGTGATTGTCCTCTGGGTGACCGGAGTAGATTATTGTCTCTCCAGTTGATAGTTGGCTCCTTCCACATCCGTTCCATCTGCTCTCGCAGATTCCCAACACTTCTATTTTATATCTCCTCATTTCTGCGGCTACCTGAGCAGCCTTTCCAGTTTCGTACATTGTCCGAGTATTCCACATCCCCATCCTTATTTTTGCTCTCATCGAAAGAAGGCACATCGGCTGACTGGCTTCCCGAAGGCTTTCACCAGCCTGCGTCATTTCACTTCCCCGATTCCAGCGAAAAATAAGGTCACTATTTGTAATTTTAGAATTTTGAATATATTTGTGCGTTGAAGTTTTAGTAGCAATTTGGTTAAGTTTTGGGGGTGGAGTTGCTAGCACCACGCCCCAACCCTCCCTCTTTATCCGGGCTTGGGACCGGCTAGAATACTAGTGACCTAGTAATCTAGGCGAGGTTAAATACAAACGTAGGTTTAGTCTATCCCACTCTCTATCTGCAGTCACTCAAAGTGATTGAAGATACACTGAAAGTTTTCATTGAAATGTCACTACACTGGTTATCTCGGTTTACTGACATCTAAAGTGGTGTAAAAGGCAATATTCTCGTCAATGAAAACCGCTGGAAAACAAGAGACATTGGTGAACTATTGTGTTATAGTCTTGGATTTCCTGGAAGTCACTACTCACACATTCTTGTAGCATTGACTGCAGAGTCATATGATTTAGTGCCAACAGATGGAATGTCAATCACAAAAGGCTTTCGATTATAGTCAATTCTCAAAGCAGGCCGATCAATATTCGCTCTCATCAATTTTAACATTCTGATCGCTTAGCTTTTCAAACATGTGTGAATGAAACTAGTTTATCTGAGGTCCGAAAGTTTAAACTACAGCTCCTCGTAACCTCATGAGTAACGGATAAGATCTATAAACAAGAACCATGAATGATTCTACTCTGGAGTGAATAAAGCGCGAAATGCAAGATCTGGTCACTTTCAGATTGGAAGTCTGCTTAAATCACTGAGCTACCTGAACCTCCCTCTAACAATATGCATGAAATATTTTCTATTTCCTATTGGTTTTGACAACTCGTTCCTGTCCTTGTGCGGTGAAATGTGCTCACTCACATTTCCGATTGGCTTTTGACCTACCGATGTAGATTTCTCGGAGAAGAAGGAAAAGTGTTGTAAGGAATTGATTTATGCTGAGGATCTAGCAGTGCTGCGTCACATCGTAGCAGTAGAAGAAGAGAAACTTGGTAAAGAAATCTGTGTTTGGAATTTCGTTTATCTAGATATAGAAATTATGTACTTCTTATCTTCAACGCACCATCTGCACAGATATTCCGTGTTGTGCTTCTTCTGGCCTTCATATTGTGTTTCTTTGTGTTCCTTTCACGTCTCTCATGTATCTATGCAAAGCTGTATCATTTGCTTCCCCTGACATCAAATCTATCTCCGTGCTATTTGATGTTTTATGCCTATGAACGTTTCTTTACTAACAACTGTCAAATCTTATCAGTAGCACATACCACAGCTGCATTTTCAATGTCTAGATGATCTAATCTCCATGTGTTTAGTTCGCTGTTTCTATCTGAGAATCATCTTGACTGATGATTTCAATTAATGTAATCGCCATGGGTAGACTGAATGTTGACAATGATTACCGATGTCAGTTAGTGACTGGTGATGAATATGCACTGCTCGTCGTGATGATGAATGAATATTTTCATGAATGTATCATTTTCTGTTGTGCTTTCTCACTCACATACGCACTCACTCACATTACGCATACCTGACGCTGTCCTGTAGTTTTCAGACACGATTTTGACGGCAAATTTTTCTGATTTTAATTTTAACTGTTATCGACATCATAATCCTGACTGTCAGTGACCATTTGAGTTGTATAAAGTGGAAGAGAACGACAGGAAAGCATGCATATTTGCCCTGGCGACTCCCAGGTAAAAGAATTGAATTTGGTGTGCTGATCTCATTATTCTACGCTGACAACTATAATAGCTGTCTTGACTCTACAATACGCTGCAGTTAGGCTGAATGAGAAGGTGCGTGTGAAGTTAATACTACTAAGTAATAGTAGTTAGAGTTGAAAAACGATCTACTCCAAACTGAACAAAGTAAAATGTTTTAAAGTAGGATATACACATGTTGACTATAAATATATGTGATGACATAATTGATACAGGGGCTTGAAAATAAGATTCACACGTCAAATTTAAAGTTAAACAATGTAAACATTTTGTCAAATAAAGCAATCATAACTAATAACAATGTTAGCTTTGTCTTGAATAATGCATTTATACAGAATACAGAATTTCCAGCATGTGTCAACGCAAGGTATTCACTTCCTGCATAGAAACTTCAGTCAGTATTGATATTGCAAGATGTATTGCGAATATTTCGGCGAAATCAGAAGTCTTGAATTCTGGAAATTGCCTGTAAGCCATCTGGGAACGAAGTGGGACCACACTGAATTCCTCCGGGAACACCGAAATCAGGTCCAGAAAGATCGTTGTATATGCTCCTAGCACTGTATTTGTCGACTTCTGCTTAAAGAGAGCTGTTCGAAGTGCTCCAGTTATATCGTCATCTGAATCTGAGTGGAATGTACTCTCGGTGTGTAAATGTTTAGCAGCTTTTTGAAGGTCAGTTAACACTACATGATTTTCTTGCTAAATATTTCGTATCATATTGATATTGACGCATTCTATTTGAGACAAATGTCTCAATAAATCTTAGAATATATGACACTCTGTCGCAGGTAATTCAAAGTCTACTGATTACTGTTTTCAGTTTTTCTTCGCAAAAAAACATCAATGTTTCATATACTGTATTGGAGATTTTCAACTAATGTGAACTTTGAAATCGTCTGTGTTTAGTACAATGGTTGCTATCGAATGAATTTATTTCGAATGTTTTAATGAGTAACCGAAGTATCAATTGAGACTTTAATTTGGAATTACGGCAGAGTGGTAAATTTATTGAAATGACGAGAAATTGTGGTGTGTGCTACTGACAAGATTTCGTAAGTAGTATACTGTGTGTGATGTCTTCTGCAAGAATGTTGAATAGCGGAGGGATGAATTAAATAGTGAAGAGAGGGAGTGAATGATCTTTGTTAGACCAGAAGGAAAACATGAAAGGAGGACAAAGGAAGCACGATAAGGAGAACATGTGTGAATGGTAATTTTTACATGATTTATAAACATTTCACCACGTTTGCATATCAAGTTGACAATAAACACCCCCACTACCAAATGCTATCTTGATCTGATGCAACACACCTACATGGATTAGAGGGAAACAAGTCGTGAATAAATATTATTGTTTGGAGAAAATAAGTAGTCTTCAAATTGCCTCAACTTTCAGTATTACACCCGACACTTAAAACCTCCTCAGAATATTTCATTGAAAGCGTTGAATATACTAAATCTGATAGTGATAGCGCATAACATTCATGTACATTGATGGCGGAGTCTGAAGATTAAAATGAGTAAGCTTCATTTTGGAAACAGGTTATTTACTTACTTCACTGTTTGTTTTGAATTGATCACCAGCATAAATTATATTACAAAGCTATGCGTTGGAACTCTCGAAGGAATTGACGTCGTAAGTAGCAATATGAGCAGGAGTTCTTAAAGGAAGTAACGATCTAGAAGAAATCTGTTGATGTTTGAGTTCATTTTCAGTGGGTTCGATAATTCGTTTGAAATGAAATTCTGCCTTCAAAGGATACTATTTTATGAACTGGTAGCGCTGGACTTCTGTAACAGTCACACGGGAATCAACAAACCACATTCAATCATTTCCGTAGCATATGACACGTGGCATACAAAACCAGTGAGTTTTGGAGATTTCAGGACATTCGACAGATGAAATATGCGTGGAATGCGCTCCCAGCTTGATCACTTCTCAGTGAGTACATCTGAAACAAGTTGTCTTCCCTCAAATTCACATCAACTTTCTCATCTACTATTTCTACATGTTCAATGCGTTCTAAATGGAACGTGTTGCTATACGCCTTTGAAGTTTCAATGGTGACAGTGTTGTTCCTACGGCTTGCATTTGGTATCATTACTCTCAGCCTTCTCTCTCTTCTGAACTTTCTACCGACTGGAAGAGGTTTAAGAGTGTGTCGATGTGTATGTGTGTTCGAACCTACACCTCTCGTGTGGATGGCACGCACTCTATCACTAGCCCACCGATACACACCCGTCAATGCAATCTCATTTTATTTTACTGTTAGGATAAGGGAACTAATTTCTGTGAAATTGAGTCATTGCGTTTGCGGGGATTTGAACAACTTCAGGCATAATTTCACCACTCATGGAAACTGGTTATAAAATCAGTGAAAACTAAGAAGAAATAGATAAACACCTCCTTCAAATTTGAATTTCTCAGTGACATCCCAATCATCGTATTAATAGTGAGACGAATACTTATGGATTTCTAAGTGTTGCTTCGTAGAGATTTTGTTGGTGGAATTTCGATTCATTCGTGAATCGACATTGGTTAGAGAACCATTTGGCCCATTGTTGTCCGACTGCTTTATGGCACCCACTCGGTCCAACACCCTCCAACCAGCAGACAAACAGCTCAAAGTTTGCAAGAGGCACACGGATGATGTATTTATCATCATCGATGAGAATACGGATTTCAACAAAACTTTGAAAATCGTTAACAACGATCACCGACTGGTCGGATGTAAAATTTCAGCCGAATCGATAGACAAGTTATCCTTCCGAGATGTCAGGCTTACAAGACAATCTGATTCAAGTCCACAAAGATCAATCTACTGTAAGCCAAAGTGGAATGGATAGCTGACCAACTTTCACACTTTCCTCACTCTCTTGCCATGAGAATCCACCACATTTGCAGGGAAGATACATTGAATGAGTAATTGGAATCCTTCAGAAGCTCTGTAGTGGAAATGAATATCCAACCTCCATCATCGATGAACATCTACAGAGAAAGATCGATTCATTGCAAAACCTGGATGCGCCGAAGAAACGACTAGCTGTCTATAGCGTACCTTCTCCACACATGTTCTTGTTCATCTGGACACCCAAGGTAAGATCCGACTGTTGTAAATTTCAGTGCGCATTTGCTCATTCACTTGATCCTCTGGAGCCAAGTATGTAGGCCGCGGCAGTAGGACATTGTCTGTACGCACCCACGAACAATTGCCAGCGTGGTTGTCAAAAGGGGAACGAAAGACAGTCAATAGCTCAATTCTGGAGTACACTATCACTTCTCGTCATGCATCACCAGCAAAGACTTCTTTCGGAGTCAGATATAAATTACGACCAAGCCGTTCCAAAATATTTCGTCTACACTTTCGTCATGCAGCCAAAGCTTTGGCAATCCACTTTGATTTATTCTTCTCATTAACGGACGATAACGTCTGACCTCTGCTATCGACTAGCACTGTATATATACCCCCATATAAGTGTACAGGTATGAAGTGAATTTACGAAAACACGTCTCTCTGTTGATTTGTGTGTTCTCAGTTAGTGAGCCATTGATGATTGTCAGGTACTGAGCAGCTGTGTCATCCTATTCTGGTGCTTTCTGCTTTCATCTATGACCCCACCGAAGATCGAACCGAGAACCTGTGAGATCCGAGATGAACACATTGCCATTCACACACTGAGGTTGAATGCAATGACCTGTGAATCACTAGTTAGCTGAATTCAAAGAATCGTCAATCCAGTCTTTTAAGGTCACTCTCCTTCAAATGGTGAAGGGAGGTTACGAAGTAATGCATACGATTATAAAAATTGTTGACTCAATATTGATGGAGCATTTGTAATATCTCAGTTGTTGGTTGTCACTGGAGATGAGAGGAATTTCAGTGAATGAAAACGGAATATTTTGCGAGAATATCGTAACTGATAGATATACTCCAAAGAATGTTGGCGAACCTCAGTATTTTTCAAGCAGGAAGATAATGGGATATAGTGAGTTTGTTATTATATTTCAGTGTAATTGGTTATCTCAACCTAGATTACTATGCCACTGCACTGGATTTACGTTCAGTTTTATTCTTCCTTCTGCTTAGTTAATTGCACACTGGCCATGTTTGTTGTTGAACATTACTTCCCTGTCTTCAGAATGAACCATCTGTCTATCATACCACTGATAGTTTTACTTAATAACAGCACGTTTGATAGGTGTAACCTGATAACTTCACTCAATATACTAACTAGAATCACTTGAAATATGCGAAGCCTTTTCAAAACTTGAGAATATTATATCACTTCTAGTGTTTGCAGAACTAGAATTCTAGACTCTTCTGAAAACATCGTGGGCAAATGATAAATAAGTGAAGATGACTGACTGGTGCCTGTAATTCATCGTGTGGGCCAGTGGGCCCAGTAAGTAGCCATCTACAGTCTTTGAAACACCTGTGTTTAACTACACTGGAAGGTGTTCTTCAGTCGAGACTGCTGAATTCCTGCGGAAACCACTAAAGTAACTATTCTCACAGAGGCAGTCAAACTAAGAAGTGAAAATATTGAGTAACTCATTCTCTGCGCTCTGTGTCACTATCGGAAGTGTGGGAAACATAATTCGTAATATTCTTATGTCACAAGCTCTCTGGCCAGATCTGCGTAGCTTTTGCATGAAAATCTCATTCAGCACATCGCTTTCTAATCGCGTACAAGTGTACATCGGCTTTTACTATCAGCAATCGAAAAATGTTGCTTTTCTGGTTTTCATGGTATGTCTTCTAATGAACTCCTCTGGATAACTGTTTTCAAGTAAAGTGTTTTGTGAGGTCATCACTTCTCCAACATTATGAATTATTCTGTGGTTCAGAGATTTTGTCAAATATCACTCGTATTCCAAGGAAACAAGGCTAATTTGTGCATTTACCTCTCAATCCACATACTCCCTCTTTCACAAGAATACCTACTTATTGATCTATATATACATGCTAAAACAAGAACATCCTTCACATACACGCACTTTCCCGCCCACGTGTTAACTGCATAGCTAAATGTATTCAGTTGAATCTAGTGAGTCTCACTACTGTTCATCTCCTTTATGACAGCGGCTGAATGAATCACTCATACACCTTATATAAACTGTAAACTTTCTGACTGAGTTGTGGAGTGAATTATTTCCTAGCTTCGCTGTCAATAGGTCTGCTGAATTCGCACGCAACAGAGTAACCATTACAACTCCGTCTACCCGTCTGTGTAGTTCTCCTTAAAACTAAAATTCATCATATGCTTCAGATATTCTTCTTTAGACGTATTCAATGGAATCTTATTGCCTCTGTCAACGGAATATTTCGTGAAGGAGAAGTTAAGTACTTGGATAGAATCAATACATTCTTAGTATTTATACTTTGGCCATGTCTCTGATTACAAACACCTTTTTCAAGTGTTTGTTTTGTTTTACATTGTATTGTACTTGATGTATATGTAAGTGCAGAGTCCAATGAGAATGTAATTGGAAAGAATATTGATTACTGAATAGTCTGTATTCGAAATGTTTAATTACCTGGTAATGACAATGAAAAATACGTTTCAGTTTTACAATGAATTATACTGTGTGTACATGTGTATTACGAAATTCAAGGTGAAGTATTCAAATGAACATGATACAGTTGTTTCAGTCACACAGTGCTAATTTATCCAAAAACAACATGCCTATTGATATGCATATTGCCAAAATATCTGCCCATAGAATGAAAGCTATTTGTTCATAGGTAAATAAAGATGAATCACCGTCTCTGCAGCGTTTAATTTCACACGCAGTAACAAATTCTAACTGTAATTCAAAACAGATTGTATTGTATTAGTGAGAGATAATTATTTGTTCTCAAGTTGAATTTCATCACTAACCGACATCATTTCGAGAAGCAGTGAAAAGCAGAGATTACTGGATAGGTTCACGTCCATTTTGCATTACTGGCCAACTAAGAGATGAAGTGCCTATAGTTCCAATGAGGTTTCTTGACTAATGAGCTCCACCAAGCTTGGTTTGAAGACAGATGCACACCCATGACAGTGACTGACGGTGACTCTACATATCGCGAATCACCTGAAGTTAACATTTTATGTATCAATAGACCCCTGACCGACTGACCCACTGACTGGTTTCAACGTAGAACTTTCCACAGGGATGCAGGAGTTTGAGCTGCCGCATTCCACGTAGCACACAAAGTGAGACAAAAGGTAAGTGGTTCGAAAGGGCAATAATAAACAGAGATTTGAGGAGGGAGTAGACACCGTCTCAGTTAGTGTGAGAGAGCGGTAGGTTCGCCTGTTAATCTGGAAATTCTGAGTTTGATCTCTGGTTGTGCATTGTGTTTACACTGTTGAAGAGCTACAGATTGGGATAAGACGGCTGTCTAGTATTCCATGGTTCCCAACTGTTCTCATATTGATGTGGGTTAGTGACGAAATTCAACATAAAATCAGTCATATTCCTGAAAACCAGACAATTGATAATAATTATTATGTGTTACATCAGTAATGGCAAGTGGCAAAATATAGCGGGATAATGAAAGGAATATTGTCATAGGAATCGTAATCTGCAATGCTTCACAGTGTGATCCGCTCAACCTTGACGGCTGACAACCGGAACCATTCACACATGTGATGGATTTTGAATGTCTCACTGCAAGGCATTGTTCGAACTCGCAATAATCATGTCAGCTTCATCACTTAAAGTTTGATCTAATATTGTATTGCAATTGAGTTATAGAATACGATTCTTAGTAGACTGTTGATAGATTTGTCTTTTCAACCTCTCCCTTTATTGGGTTAGATATGGAGCTGTCTAGCAGAGACCCTATGTATGTGGTCACTTCAAACTCTTCGCTTATAGATAGCTTGGAAATACTTAGATTCTTCATACTGCATGGAGATTCTTGGATGTAGGATGGGTCTTCGGGTCAGAACGTGTTAAGTGAATAGAGTTTTATCAAATCATTTGATCCATTATGCATTAATGCAGTACTGTATTTTTCACATATTTTTACACATGCCTCAGCGTATCGAAGTATCACATTCTGAAATCTAATCTGCTCTCACTAATATGTACATTACTCAATACGCTATACAATTGACCCAGGGTGTTGTGATTAGCGTATTGTCAAATAAATCAGCACCAGAGGCAATCTCATTGAGATTCAAATGTTTGAGTTAACATAGATCTGTATGAACCTAAAACCGAACACATCTACCATTAGAAATTAACATCGAGTGTGCACATTTATTACAAATATAAACACAAGTTTAAGTGCGTTTTAGGCAATTACTTTTATGGCTTGTAGGGATTTTGACAAATTTCAGAGTATTTTGGAGTTGTTGTGTTCTGTGAGCTAGAGTGGTTATGCGAAGAAGTTTTCCTTCTGGACAACGTCATCTGCAATAACTGCAATTTTGTTCAGAAGAATAATGAATGCTTCGCACATAAACTGTCCAGTTCAGAGAACACGACAACGCCGAAAATATCGACTTCAGCTATACATCTTCCACACAATTTCCCAATTTCAGTGTGGTCTTTAATCCATATGGAAATCTGCAGTGAACAGTTGTTGAATGGTTTGTTTTGTAGGTCATCAGACAATCGCTTGGAATTAGTGAATGCATTCATATTTTCCTAATTAACACCGAAAATTTGATTTTTCATGTTCACAAGATTTATTCTTCACTAAACGTCTGCGTAAAACTTACGATTGCTGCAGCACACGTCCAACAGGCACTTGTAGCGAATTCCATAAAGAGAATAGAGTTCTAAATTTCAATAAAACCAAATGAAATAAGCAAAGTAATCTATACTTCAACAGGTTATATATCAATGTATATATGTGTGTTTCTAACCCTACGGGAACAGGGGAAATGATATATACACACAGAAGTATCCTGTCTTAAAGAGTCTAAGATCCTTGTCGCCCATAGTTGTGGGAAGTTAGAAGTTGCGCTATAAACAGTCCGATTATCGATATCTTGCTGACACTGGTCATTCTATCTCAGCAAACTCTCAATTCAAAGTAATGTACAAAGTGAAGAACAACCTACTAAATGGAAATACGCTTTCGTTTCCTCCTGCATTACTGAATTTCCAATCATCCAGGCAGAAAAACCGGATCTCTGTAAACTGAAGAAACCTATTCAACCACTTTTGCCATCATGATAACGACATTGGTCTTTGTTTCTTCCTAGATCTTTCAATCCCTCTCTTGCGTAATATCACATTTTCATTCGTTTATGTTTGCTTCCTGATTACAATCATGCTTTAATTTATTTATTGCATTACGTTATTTTAACGCTCTTGCTCATCTCCTCTTATTCATTGACTGATATAAACAACTGTGGCTATGACAACTTGGTTTGCTCTTTTTTTTCATTAGTTTCTGGAATTGGACTACTCATGAGTGTAACAAGGCACCACCGAAACTTTCTTTTACTTACTCATTAAGTGTAATAGTAAAACTTGAAGTTTGACAGATGACTGACAAGCAGTGAATTGACCTCATAATCACACCAATGTTGATAATATATCTCATCATGAAGAATATTCAAGAGGCTGAAGTCTCTCGAACAGGTCCTACACGCCATGAATATTTTCTAGTTTGGAACACAGTGGACGACAGTGGATAAATATTACTTGAGATAGTGAATTGAACAATTCGTAAAAGGTTTAAATAGCTCGGACGAAGTAAACAAGGCTGCTTAACTCATTATGGATAAATTTTGTTTTGATAAAGCCTCACAGTGTTATACAATAATGTTTACTGATGACGTTTCGAGCACAATTTATTGCTCATAATCATATCAAGGTAATCACACGACTTCCTAATTTCATTTATATAGTTCCGTTGTTTTTCACTTGATTTCATTGGTAGTAATATTTTCCATATTTCAGGTATGAGTGATGAATCATTCCTATTGCATGTGTTGGGTGTAGATTCGATGAACAAGGATCCAGTAATCAACCTCTGTCTCCACCTACCTAGATAACTTCTTGGAATTTTCATCCTCTCCCACCCTATTGTGTGGTTATGTGTTAATGCGTGCATTGCAATTGCTGAGCTTTTCTCTAAATTACTTATCTTCTCTGGGTAAACCATTCTTACCTTAGCGGAATTCTTATGCTCTGACAATCTGACTACCCACGATCTACTAGTTTGACCTATACAGTTGACCTCACAGTCATTGCAGGGTATTTTGTAAATTATATTATTTTGTCTAATTGGGACAACTGGGTCCTTTAACCTACAGAGCTTGTCCCTGAGTGAGTTTGTAGGTTTAAATGCCACCCTAATTCCTGCTTTATTTAGAATCCTACGTAGGGTCTCAGATGTCCCCTCTTTATATGGTATAACTGTAGATGACTTATATTCTCTCTTATTTATGTTATTATTACTAGTTTCACAATTATTTTTATTTGGCTTTTGGCTTTTTTCGATCCTCGTAATGAATGTTATGGGATAGTTATTTAACACCAACGCCTCTTCTATCTGTTTCATTTCATCATTTAGTTCTTTTCTTCTGCTACTTAGAGCTACTGCTCGGTTTGTTAAACACTTAACTAAGCCTGCCTTAACAGTTAAAGGACGAGATGAATTAAAGTCTAAATATCTGTTAGAATGCGTTGGTTTTCTATAAACACTAGTGTGTAGTTTGCCTTCTTCTATTCGTTTTATTTTACAATCTAACATAGTTAATTCTCCTTGTTCATTTTCTGATTCAAATGTGAATTTTATTCCTTCTACTAGTGAGTTTGTATGTGTACAGATTCTAGAGATATGTTCTGTTTTTAACATTGTGAAAGTGTCATCCACATATCTCAACCATGCTTTTGGAGTAGGGTTGAACGTATTAAGGGCCATATTTTCCCAACTGTCCATAAATATATCTGCTTAACTCAGTTCAACTCCACTACAGAAAGCAAATTACATTGATTGATAGTGTCCAACAGCAGAATCCATAACTCGGGTTTCTCCTTAATTTGGGTGTATCTGCATCTTCGGTGAGTGATGGTGTTCAAGTTCTGAGTTCACGTTCGAATAGTCACTCTATCATCCACTGGGAATGACGTGCATTCAGGTGCTGCACCTCAAGTAGAATGAAATGCACATTATGGATTCCAGTGCTAGGAACCATCGATCAAGTTTCACCACGCAAATTGCCAGACATCTTTGTGGAGCCCAATGTGGAAGCCAATACGTTAACACAGACCGACGATTTTAGCTCAGCATCAGCTCAATCAGTAGGAAACCAAATAAACTTAAATAAATGAAGTGATATTCCTCTGTTCATAGATGAAACTGAGAGTTGTGGAATGACCGCAGTCGTAAAACAATAAAACCCTTAACTTTCTTCAGATCTTCTTCAAGTTTTCAATAGTTGCCACCCTGCCATCAAATTTACGATCGAAGTAGAAACCAAAGAGACAATCTCCTTTCCGGACGTTCGTTTAAGTAAGAAGACCGATGGTACCTTGAACAGATCAGTACACAGAAAACCTACATGGAACGGTCAGTTGACAAACTTCTACAGTTGGGTACCAATTAGTCGCAAGCGAAACTTGATAATATCTCTGGCGACTAGAATCCAAAAAATCTGTAGTCCTGAATCAATAGAGGAATAGATCGCCCTCTTAAGGAAGACACTGCTCGAGAATGGCTACCCACCCCATTTTATAGACAAGCATGTTAAGCCTAAGACTTACAAAGAACAACCCATTACAGTGCAGAAGAAGATGGCCTACATGAATGTACCCTTCAAAGGTGACCTTCTGGCTGACTCCTTGAAGAAGAGGATATCTACTGCTCTCAGAAGGACAATCTTCGCTGCCACACTACGACTGACATTTTCCTCCAGACCATTGTTCTTGAACTACACTAAAGATAAACTATCGCATTTGACCACTTCCATGTGTATCTACCAATTCACCTGCTCTTGCGGAGCGAGGTATATAGGTCGTTCGATGCGAGTTTTATCTAAAAGAGTTCAAGAACACTATCCCGCCTGGCTACGGAAAGGTAACAACAGAGCAATAAGGAGCGCCATTATTGAGCATATACTCAACACTGGTCATTCGATTTGCGAGGAGAAGTCGTTCAAAGTCATCTATAAAGTCAAAAGAGGCCTTCCAAAATCGACAAGCTTCCGTATACTTTGTATTGCCGAAGCTTTAGCGATTTGGATAGAAAAGCCTGATTTATGCACACAGAAGAAACTTCTCCATCCCCTCCTACTACCATGGGTTTAATTTCAAGTTTATCTGTCATCAACATTTTGTTATCAATTTTTTTTGCAATTTTCGTATAATAATTTCTAGTAAATAACCCACTCAATCTTTTCACCTATTATCTAGTTTATTTTCATAATTGTCTCCATACTCCTTCACTAACATCTAATCTTTCTAAACATGTCTATATTACGTAACCCTACTCACATCTCACCAATCTTCACCCCACTTAGTTACAACTTTGATTAATAATCACACACTTTAATTTCTTTATTATTTTGATGATGTAATCAACAACCCACACTAACTGTTAATTTGATTTTGATTTTGACAAACCTAATGTACACACACACACACACAAAATTAATTGTATATATTTGCGACTGTACAGCTAAGTGAATGAATTCGCCGAAAAGAGACTCTTCGCTGTACTAATTTCTTCTTATTTCTTCAGATCACTGTACGACTGAGGCATTTTAACATTTCTATTTCACTGGAACAAGGAAAACAGGCTTGTTGGCAACGCGCCACAAACTAATAACGTTGGTTAGATACATGTGAGAGTTTCAATGTCATTTTTAATAGATTCAGTTGAACCGTAGTTAAAACATCTGAATTACTGTGTAACGTATTTTTAAAGTGGACGTTCTACGGCTCTAAAATTAACACATGTTTTACAATAAACTCTTGATGATTCTACTCATCGTAATCGAGCACTACTTTTTCTCCTAAAGAGCCTTTATCTGAACATAATTAATGCAAAATCTCCTAGTCACTGAATTTATACATCACATTATGTTTGCATGTGATCACTAGGAGTCAAGAGCTCTCTGACTACTGTTGAAATAATTGTTTTTAGTGATGATGAATGCATCATAAAGTTATTTAGGAAACAGAATCGCTCACCTTGGCTAATCCAATGTAAAATACTATGATCCCCCAAGCGACGAGCATGATAGATATTGAGATGAGTAAAAAACATCCCTCTCTTTTCAACTGTCTTAAATTCATACCTATCATAACGATTATTATTGTAATGAGAACTGCCGAGCTGACAGAAATTAACAGATATTTCATTTCACCACACTGAAAAAAGTATGCTGCACCCACAGAAATTAAGATGATCTAGGTTGGAGAATAAAATAAAACATATTACGACATTCCACATGATTATCAATAATATTTATGTGTTTGTGGTGGCATTACTCAAAATATTAAATTGAACGGTGAGATTTATACGACGATACTTCGATGCGTGTTGTTTTCTAATATGGGATGAGACGTTCAAGACAGATGCTGGAATAAAAGTGATTTCATGTGGCTCACATTCATCAATACTCGTGAATGTGTAGTGAAATTAGCAACGGTCTTCTCTGTTCGGTGATAAGCAATACATCATATTACGTCTGCGTCTTCGGGGCTTAGCATTATTCAACAACATCATAGCACGGCGTCTGGATGATATGAGACACCAGATCAACATATTGGAATCTCTTATGGTGGTGATCGGCACAGAACGACTACTTCAAATTGTTGGATTTGGGACGGCCTGATGACCTGACGAGTGAAACCTGAATTTTGTGTGCAGAACGCAACCATTACTAACTTAATACGACCTTGTTGAACACTGTCTCTCAGCTTCAATTATAGAAAATGTACGTCACTCCCATGATATAATTTGATAATTGGTTATACTTGTTATGCTAACTTCTCGGGTAATTCGTGCCTAGTCCACATCTTCGGCGTGTTATCATACACTTATAAAATCAACTTGCTATTCGGTTACAGTGAGTTTAAATCATTTCACGTGTATTGCTCACACAGTTCATTATTAAGGTTATATGCAGCTTATGAAGAGCCTATGTAAACTTATCCCTCAAGAGTCACTCTTATTAAGTTATTCAAAGGATGTTTACTGGTTGTGAGAAAAGACGCGTTATGTATGCATTCATAAGCAGCCTTTCTGAACTCCAATATAACTTCACTTCATGCCTAAGGGCTGTAACACTTTTTTCATAATCGACCATCGCTGGAATGCATCATGAACCAATGCAGTATCAGTCTGGCTTATTCTAATATATCACATAATCACTGAGTGAATAATAAGTAATGCAAATAATTTAGACTGGTGTCAATTGGCAGGAAGACATGCAACTAGTCTTGATGCTTGTCGGAACACATCAACGCCACACATCTCGAACCTTGCCGGAGCTCGTATTCTTTCACACACTTCAGTCGTTGTCGAATGAATTAGTGTTATCTCCATCCAGTTCAGGTCAAGTTCACCTTCTCGTAGGACTGTTTTGTGTGCACGGATTCAGAGTGGGTTAGAAACCAGTTTATTTGTCCAGATTTAATTGTGTTTCGACTGAGGTGCGATGAAATGCTTGAACGCATAACATAAACGTCTCGTCAATGTTTGCTCTCCTTCAGTGACTTCATGGAGATTTCAGCCCACGTGTTTGGCGAAAATATTCCGACTAATCCAATGTAGGAAATAGGGCGATGTATACTTTCTCAAGTTTCACAACAGTTACGGATTGAAATCATTCCAGGATATATTGCGTCACTTGGATATCAATTTCCCAATCAAACCATTGATGACTTTCTGGTAACTGATAAAGGAATTGTTCTCAGTGGGTGCATAGTTGACAAAATAGGTCACAAAACAGGCTACATAATTCGAGTGTTCTCCTGTTAAAACCGTGTGGTACAATGTATTGCTTGAAATAAAATATTCCCATTAATATCCTCCCTGACGTTGGACAGGAAGCGTAACTTCCATAAGGAGCTTAAGTCTCCTCGATACTGTGTATGTCTCACAGCAATTGTCGAAAGACACCAGTATACTTCATTAAAGATGAAATACGACGTACACTTTTAAACTACTGAGATTAAAATGCACTTACCGATAAATTCGTTAGAAGAAAATTAACTGCAAACATGGACTGTAGGTTTTTGAACAACGTCAAAATAGTGAAGACAATACCACCACAAATTCTGAAATACAAGTAGGTACATCAGTTGTCTTAGAATAAGAGTTGGACAGACCACCATACGAATATACAATGTGAATGTATGTTATAAATATTCTGAATGCATTCAGTGTGCACAGGTTCTAGTTGGAAATAGAAACTCTTCAGACTGTGATACCAACAACAATGGATCACCATATACAAAACTCGAGAAAACTGAGACAGGACAAGCAATCAGTGAATGCATTGTGTGGCAGTTCCTCACACCTGCACTAGTCAGATTATATTTGGTGAAGAAAGCAGATCATCAACAGCTTAGATCAGCCTCACCTGGTTGTCTTTCAGAAAATAATAGGGTATAGTGCATTTGTAAAGTATTCGAAGAGCGTAAACTTCGTTTCATTGATGAATAGCATGAATAACATTATACAGTGCTAGTTATCGCGAAGTTGGCCGGTGAATCAAGACAGAAAATTGAAAATAACACCATATTGTAGTGTCAATGAAATGAGTGTTGAAAACGACTTACAAGCAGATCACCGTTATCTTGAAGTGTCGAATGCTAAGAAAATATGAGAAGTAAGTAGATATGGTAATGCATTTCTTACTCTATCTGTGGTGTAGCACATGGCGTCGTTGTGTTGGAATCCATTAGGGGATAATTAGTAAACTGAATATTTTTGGTATTATTATATAAAAAAGATTGACTACCATTTTTCGAAGATTGATAGTAGCAATAGCTGGCGACTTGTAATTCTAGCAAAATACCACAGTGATCCATTATTCAGCACTCACCTCTATTGGATACAGATCGGATAGGCTACAAAATTAGGAGAAGTGTCATTACAAATCTACACTTTCAAAACCACGACACAACGTAGTCACTTTTATTTCAATATGTACAGTGGAAATAAAATGAGTGAAGTAAATCGGTGTCATCACAACTTCTATCCCTATGGCTGAGTGGTGACTAGATTTGGAAAGAATAATAACATGGTTTCTTGTAGTCTCTGTTGTGTCGATTGCTTACAACTTATGCAGCATGACTTGTACATTAGAAGAAGATCAACATATTCCATGTAAATAGATGAAGTCATTCGAAGGAAAACTGTCTCATTCAACAAACAATATGAGTATGCGATTGAATCAACAACTCCTGAGAAGCAGTTCATTGAAACAATTGGAATAATGTTCGAGTTAGACAACAAGCAATTATGTGAAAACAGAATTGACTCGATCCATCCAGCAAACGTAGCGTTACTCGAACAACTTTCAGTCTTTCCTCAGTGAGAACTGACTAGAAATAGATAACTGTCAACCTTTCTACAGGTAATTCTGAGAAGACTACTAATTACGAAGTTACTTCTACTGTGTGTTCTACTATAGTGTAATAGTAGTGTAATACGTTATTCAAATCAAGAGAAAATGGTGGATACACTCACACTTCAACTTCCACTGTTACGTAAGCTTTTCTTTGATATATATTTATGATAACCGTTTGCATAAGTCTCCAAGTGGGAGGTGATTCAGTGAAACTCGCACTAACACATAACTTCGTCTAGCCAGCTTACTATCAGATGCTAAACTCAGCAAACAGTGATGGTTTAGCAAAGAGCCAGAATCGTCACCCTGTAGGATACACTAGGATCACTGGTGAAAACTGAAGGCAGAGAAGAAATGAACTTATTCAATTCAAGAGATCAGATGGTGAACACCTCCAAGAAGATAATCAACCGATATTTTTCCTTTCGATGGTAGTAGATGCAATGAAATGGAATATTCACTCCATGTTTGAGCCTAGAAGAACTGCCTAGATTGCAGAAGAAATGAGAACACATGATACAAAAGTGTTTGGAATCTGTCCGAAGAAATGGAATCAAAGTGAACTCTCCAAACTGTTAAGTGGAGAGTCAATTACTTACTCCAGTCAATCAGGTGAAGACCGAGAACACCCTGAGGCTGTAATCATAGTAATATCAATAAAAGAATCGAAGACTGTCATTGAGTGAAAGTTTTGAAATGTAATTTAGTTAAATGGAGCGAGAGGTTGATCACTGAGTCTCTGCTCATTAAATCAATACCGAAAGGGTGGAGTCTAAATCATGCAACGCTTAAACGATATATATGTAAAAAATTGTAATAAATAAAATTGGGGAAGCGAAAGAATATATAAATCAAATAATCAAGCCATGTGAATACATTGATGTGACTGTTTATGAGGAATAAATTGTGCTTGAAACATCATCCAGTTATTTATACTGTATCACTGTTTGTTACATAAAATAAACTTATCTATAATGTACTTACATTCTACCACAGTGACCAAGTTCAACACTTACAAAACCAACAGTGTGTTACGAAAGTAACTGTAAAACTGAGAATGCTGTCATCTGACCACAGTTGTAGGCATCTACGAAAAGCCTAATATATGATTGGGTGTCTGTCTATCTATCTATCTCACAAGCGGTTATTATCAAACTAAATGAGAATTCTGAGTGGCAGACTTCACAGTTACATATTAGGCGCTAAATCAAGTTCATCATCGAAGGTAACGCAACGTGTAGAAATGTGATTCTAAGAAATTCCTGAGATAATTTCAACTATAAATATTCATGAAGTATTCATGTACGAATTCATCGAAGTAGTTGAGCTCTAAGGGAGAAGAGACAAGACTAGTTTTGTTTTGTAATTGGTATTGATGCAGTAGGAACAGGTGGTTTATAACAGTCAGTAGATTTCATGTTTAGATACATTTTCTCACTTCCTTTCTTGTATTCTGAAGTTCCAGAGTAGGCATGGCTTAATAGGCCATCCACCAAGAATAGGATCAGAAGCCCTAAAGGGGCTGGAGAACATTCTGCTATTGAATCACCGATGCATCTTTAGACCAATAATGACGCCAAACTCTGGAACCTCTGTTATATTCATTTTTGCAAAGAGGGAACAACATTTTACAGAACAAAAGCTGAATTTACTCAGTGAACGTCCACGTTTATTTATCAATGACAAATTCCACGAAAAGTGCGTTTTCTTAAACGAATTTCATCGTCGGTACTTAACCTCTGAAGTGTGAAGTGCAGTAATTCTCCTATACTATGCACAAGAGGTGTATCTGAAACACTCAATCTAGTGGGATTCCATAGACTCTGTTTCAATCTATTTGCAAAATAATTACTGACTGATCAATCTGAGAGCGTTCGGCATGCTTCCTTACAAGATTTACAATATGTGGACCTTAAATTAATCTAGTGGGGAATTTGTCTGACATTTTAGACGCACTTTGAACTCCAGTTCCAGACATTTTTTATTTATCATTGACTTCTGACTCTTCAGGAACTAGCGTAAGTTCACACATGGTATTGATCGTTATGCACTTCGTGAGAAATAACGAGGTGTTAATTCCTAACACTATTGTCAAGTCAGTGCCTCTTTATGGTTCAGAGGATTAGCACGTCTCCAAAAGCATTTCCAACAGGCTGCTGTAGATTTTCATCGACACCTGACTACGCCGAACACTGAAGATCAGTTGAGCGATTGGAAAGGATGGTCAAGAAGGAACTGTGGCAGACAGCGAACCTATAGACAATCTAATAATAGACATTCAAGTGACGTTACAAATCAGAACCCTGAGTGGAACCCGAATGGGAAGTGACGAGTTGGGCGTCCGTGGGTGGCGTGCACTATACCGTGTGAAGAGAAAGCGGAATTATGTGGACAGTCATGGAGTCAGTTGAAAGTGGTCGTAGATAACCGAATGCGACTGAGATTTACTGGTGTGCACCAGTGTTCCACTTAGGAAGCAAGAAAAGTATGATAATTAATAATGATAATATACTGTTGTTGTTGTTGTTGAGTAGAGAATTAGCATAACTTGTCTTCGATTCAAGGAATTTCATTATATCTACTTCGTGTAAAATAGTTGACACACTGATGTAATGGTCATGGAATCAATTATTTCCGAGTTAATACGTAAATGGGAGACGGCATACGATCGGTGCTCCTAATCAATCCTGCGAACGAGAACCGATGAGAGCTCATTTGTTTTCAATGTAACTCTCCTCACACTTGGTGTTATGGACGGCCCTTCCAAAATCGAGGATGTTGGGACTGAGAGCTGACTACAACTCCAGACTGTGTTCAACAAAATTGCGGTCAAATCTTTTGCTTGAGATAAAGGAGATCATGAATTGACGCAAGTTCATGCCCTTCTTTCCTCATATAGTGGTAGGGTGAATACTTCCGCTGAGCCCTCTGTGTCTACTTTCAGCGCTTTCGTGATGCCTCCTATCTGGTTTCGCTACTTTTCTCGACTTCTACTTCATTGCTTCACTTTTGAAACTTCTGCTGAGGTTCTTTGAAGAGTGTCTATCTACCTGCTGTTTTCCACGCCTGGTGACTTCTGCTTCTATTGTAGAATGTCCCCTGGTAGTATTTCTGGGTGAGTTACAAGCAATGGTCGAGTGAGTATTTGTTCGAAGTGGTCATTTCAATGCTTCTTTTGTTTCACCTCTTTGATGGTCGGGATTTCCTCCCTTTCTTCAAATGGCTTCATGCATGTTGGTTTCTCTCCTTACAGTAACCCTAACATTTGATGTGGTGTTGTTAGTTGTCGGTTACAAGCGACTTGTTCTCCTCAACTATATAGACCTGGTTATCTGGAATAATATTCTGAGGTTTTCTTTTCTGTAGAGACTGTTCTTCAGTTGACATTGCGTTTTGGAACTGTTGTTTCTTTTCTAAGACCCTTCATCGTCTTTACTTTCTTGAGCAGCATTGAGATGAAGTCTATCTGTTTATTGATGTGTCTATGAGATGGAATCCATATGGCCTTGTGTCTATCGCTGTGCTTGCACACGCCACCCCCAATCACCGAGTCACTGAAGTCTCAGAAGTCTCATTCACTTTGCTGAGAGGCTCTCGACCCTGATGAGTTCTGCTCCCATACTGACTGCTCCCAGTTCAGCATTCATATCACCCATAAGGATTTTAAATCACCATTTGGGATCTGATCCATTACTGCTGACATTTATCTGTGGAATTCTTCCTTCTCTTCATCGGTGTTGTTTGAAGGGGCCTAACACTGGATGACTGTAACTTTCCAACATTTGGAAACCAATCTGTTCGTCATTATCCTGAGGGAGATTGGTTCTCACTGAAAAAGAGCTTTCGTTCGTGTCGGTGATATTGTGACAGCTACTCTCCCAGCGTGCTCGAGATTATTGTCTAAGAAAGTGGAGTAGATCACTCATCCTCCAGTTAGCAATTCTGTGGAGTGCAAATTCATTCCTCCTGATCTCACAAAGTCACAGGAATGATATACCGGATCTTTTCATCCATTCAGTGATTTGAGCAGCCTTCCCTGCTTCGAACAATATTTGACATTCATGCACCTTCGAGTATTCCTGCTCTCAATGGAATACACTTCACCTGACTGGCTTCACAAAGGCTTTTACAAGTCTGTTGCATTCCATCTCTCTGACTCCAGCCAAGTTCAAATTTGCTTTTAATATTTGGCTGTCCTTTGAAGCTTCGTTGAGGATCGGATAGATCTTTGGGAGTAGGATCACCGGCCACATGGTCAACCTTCCCTCCTCTCCTGTGCTTGCAACCGTCTCTTGAACTAGAAGACTAGGTGGGGTTATTGCAAACATTACAACAACGGGATGATGAAACGTTAGGCACATAGATTTCATTATAATATGTGTTCTGTTAGTCAGTAGAATTCTGAAGTGTATTCAATCAACACTTGCTGTCCTATCGAATATTTGTTCAAGTTATTGTAAGTCATTATGACTGAGACAGAGGTCGTTGGTACATCGCTGATCGCCTGTGAACAAGATTATCCATATTTGAATTCATTCACAATATAAATGTTGAGTGATATGGATTCAGTCGTCTTTTCGAGCCTCGAATCCTCCAGCTAGTACTGTGTAAGTTGTAGCTGTCCTCGCTTAACATTCGCATTGTGTGATTGACGGTGATCATTTTCTCATGTGTCGTCGTTATTCAATGGAAATAATGACAATAGTTCAAGAAGCAATTTTCAGTTCATCTGGCACTCTGATTCTTCGACTGAGCATCTCATTGTCTTTTTGAAAAGTGGCATGTTACAGTTTAACGTCCTTATAAAACGATTCACTTTCAGTTGATTCATCTATAAATTTCTGCAGAGATCCAATGAAAACTATGTTAGATGGAATACACTGACGACAGTTTTTACTTAGATTAGGTTAGACGGTAAGAAACACATTACAAAAAGTACACAGAATCTATAATTACTGGATGTTTCTCCTTTGTGCATTTAGAATTAGTTGAGTGTGTTGTCGTTTTGAGTTTGCTAGTGTTAGCAGAGTGTACTTCTCTTACTCGAGAATCGATAAAACTCCTTGACATTACCAGAAGGTAATTCATCTGAATCACCCCTTATTACGAACATTATGGTGATGGAATAGTAAAACATTTCTCAGAAGGACTTCAATAAATCAAGTGCTATAGTACTCCTTAAGATTTTGTAATGGAGTCACCCAGCTGACTTGGCACTTCCTCTCCTACTTAAAACTTGTTTTAGTTATTGTGGGTCCTTAGAATCGAGACAGCTGACAACAACAGTGGACAAGAATTCATGTACCTTAAGCACGCTGATTACTAGAGACTCAATAGAAGATATCACAGATGAATCAATCTACAAGAATAAATTTCAGATGCGCCAATATATACAGAATCTAGAAATTTATATCCTGAATCAAGTGGTAACGTTTGCTGATATATGTGAGAATGTTTCAGACTGCTTTGAAAGTTGTATGTGTAATAGTCTATATCGGCTGCTGTAATTGGTTATTCTAAAGATGATGGCACTATTGTTGTCAGTTAATTGACATTTTGTTGTCATTCAGTACTAACTCAGGGGCTAGTGAGTAGTGAATTCAGGACAATGATACATGGTGATTGTGATAATATCAGCCTACAAAATTAAGCGTCAACCAGTTCAATGTTTCGAAATACTGCGTTCGTTTTTCTTTCAGTACAGATATATGATATTGGTTTGTCAACATTTAAGATCATTAGACGTTTTACAGGGTGCTTGATATTGGCGATTATCTATAACGAGGTCTTGACTATCTTGCGATGTATTAGTTTATTCTGTATGCTTGAAGATGTATATCCTTTTGTCCTGTGATATTAGCTAAAATACTGAATTGTGCCATATCAACGATTTTGAAATATCGAATTTAATTCGGCATCTGCAGGGATGAGATCTGGTCATCATTAACTTAACTTCAGATGTATAATTTGTTCAAAAAAGAGTTTGAGCAAAGAAATTTATTCCTTTGCAATTAGCTTCTCGTCATCGGGTGGCTCTACACTAAAATATACTTTTGTATACATTAATGTATACTTTT